TTATCCCCTGTTGATAAGCTGTACAAGTATCTGGGAATACAAGCAGTTGTGAATGAGATTTCTAAGAAGGAGAAGTTTTGTAGGAAAAAGTACATGGCAGTTTTAAGGTGTGCATCCAGCAAGGTGAGGGAGATGATTGCCAGGTTCCCAGTTATACTCAGCATGTAGGTGAGAAAGAGAAAGATGAAAATCACTACTTTCAGTTGTGGGTCATCTGTCAGTCCCAGCAGGATAAATGTTGTTATTGTGTGATTTCTCATAAGTGGATCCTGGCTTCTATTTAATTTGCATTTAAAATTCAGAGATGTTTGTGTAGGATAGTAATTCACAGAGGAAGAACCTGGAAAACCCATTCACATGTATTTAAATATTTTGTTTACAAATATTGTCATTCACTGGTAGCATAGGTTCTATAATTATATATTTTTGGTCATTTCAGGGTAGATTAAAAAAATTAAATTGCATTATCTGTACCAATTCCAAAATGTTATGGTTGCTTCCTTATTATTGTATTCTGTTGTTATTTTTTATTTTCCCTGCATCTCAGATTTAATTTTCCCCAACAGTTAGATTTGACTACTAGTGTTTTCTGAGATTGAGAGTTTTTCCTTATTCATACTGTGAACCCTAAACCTGAACCTTAAACTTTCTTTTTCATATTTGTGTTTCCTTAAAGTTTTGTTATTAATACAATTATATCACACAGACAGTTAATTATACAGGCTCTCCTGCTGTGGCTGAGCATGTCAAGTACACTTGTTTTTTTCTGTAAACAGCTACTTCCTTACTTATTTCCCTGATTTTTCCTCTTAATTTTCTATTTAAAATACTGCTTTCCTATTGCAGTACATAAGAAAGAGTATTTTAGGATGAATTTATTGTATAGGATGATAATATAAGTTAGGTATGGAATATATACCTGATTAAAATCACAATTATTTTAAATTTTTTATTGTCTATAAGTGTGAAGCACAGTCCAAAATACTGTAATATTATCCCAAGGTCGATAATATGTCAGGTCTAAACTATTACATATTTCTTCAAGCATGCTTTAATTTCACTGTGACTCAGTTTGTTAGTGTAAATGGAAAATAAAATATTACTCTTCATACATATACTAAGTGATAATATAGTATAAAAAATATTTATAAAAGTACCTGTTTAATAATTAGTAATGAATATAATTTAACTACTTCAGTGTCCTGGTTTATAATTATTTTCTTTTCATTGGTTACCATACATTCAATCATTATTATATTAAAATCATGTTTTGCCCTCATGTTTTTAAATATATGAATTACATGAAAGTTTATCAAATACCTCCACTTTTCTGTTGAAAGTTAGGAAATTTCTACTTTAATGTTATAATGTGTGTCTTCTTTATTTGCTTTTCCTAATTTTGAGACAGGATCTAACAAATTACCCAGGCTGG